TTATGTCAACTGGATGCTTCCCTCAACTCAGATGCATATGGCTAGGAGTCTGTGACTCATGGCTTGTTGATACATTTTGCTACTCTTCTGTCTCCCAATTCCCCAATTTCCTTCTCTTAGAGACCTTTACAAGGTGGTATCTCCAGTAGTGGCAGCCTGTCTGTGAGCTTTGCATGCCATAGGATCTGTCCCTTCCTCATCACAGGGGAATGGTGCTTTACCGTGGATATTTTTGGGACCGAAGAGCAGATAATGCTGGAAATCCACCTTGGACCTAGCAGTGTCCATACTCGTGAGCACAAGTTCAGGGTTATTCTACCCACTGTCATACTGTCATTGACAGTATGAGCCACGGAAGTGGCTCCAATTTTTTTAATCTTCAGGATAGCTATTATTCACATTTCCGATGTAAAATACTGTGTTGCAGGTTGGCTGGCACTCTTGTCCCTGGAGATACTCCCACCTGAGCCCTTCACAGGACCACTGAGATCCCGGCCATGGCAGCAGGATTGTCAAAATAGATTTCATATCACTCTGTGCTGTGGTTCTTCCTTCTTCAGAAAAACTGCAGGACCAGGAGCTGGAGCTCCCGTCTTGTCCCGTCAGACGGTCTGAGCAGGCATGCTGTCTGGGTCTCACGCAGCACCTGTTGAGCACAGGCAGCTGCAGGGTTTGTTGCCCCTGCCAGAGAGGGCTGCCCATCCAGGGCTGGGGGGAAGCCGCAGTCTCTCCTGGAGGTGGTTTCCCTGCACTGGGCCTCTGTAGATCCATGTCTGCAGCATGTGGAGGACATGGGCTGGTGATAGCAGGTGCAGAGGGGCCACGGGGTTTGGTCTACAGGGCTCCTTTCCCATCTGCCAGGAGCCCGGAGGTGCCTCCTCTGTGCTCCTGCTCTCAGTGGATCAGTTTTTCACGTAACGTAAGCTTGTCCTCTTCCTTGTCCAAGCACCCTACTGCTTTGAGATACCTTTTAGAGCTGAAAAACACGATGTCTTCCCATAGCAAAATACATCCATCCGAGATTCATCTTCGCTCTCCATCGTACGTCACAACTCAGTGCAAGGAGATAACAGATCCTTTAATATGAATATACAGTGACAATTCAGAAGAAGAAAAATTAAATATTATTATAAAAGCAGGCCCAGGAGGAAAACGCAGTTAAGTGCCGTAGTTTACAGTTGTTTAAATGGTCTCTGTGCATCTTCAATTTGTGTTTGGTGGCAAACCAGTGATTGCACACCTCTGTGAGAAACCCGTGCTAGGTGGAGCGAGGAAGCAGCAGCCCCAGCCAGCTGTGCCAATGGCCTTGACAATGTGGAGATGAGTTCCTTTGGTTTCTCTTCTGTAGAGACTGGACACCCCTCGTGTGGTTTGAGGGCTGGGTTAGTGGATAGCTGACATGATGCTGCTTCTACTGATGTGATGTGCAGCAGTAGTTTGCAGATAGCCCCTCCATACTATTGTGCCTTGGCATGCTGTTGCTGCATTCATGGTGAATCCTCATCGGTTGAGCTCTGTGCCAGCCTGTGTTGCCAAGAGGGTAGGAGGGGTTGGGGGATCTTCTTGTGGATTCATGCAGTGTAGTGGGCTTTTTCTCTTCTTTTCTTTTTTTTTTTTTTTTTTTTTTAATTTATTTAGGGATGTTTGTACACTACTATGATCCACAGAACCTGGGTTAGATCTCAGAGCTATGACTCTTACCAGGAATATTTAAATGATCTTTCTGTTTTCTGCTGTTAACTTTTAAGACCTTATGAGCACACTGACGTTGCATGCTGCACAGCCTGTTCAGATGTCCCTCCTTCTTCTTTCTTTTAGAAATTACTGAGTTTGCCTAAAAATATAAAAATAGGCAAATTGCTGTTAGATTAAAAAGCATTGTCACTTTGATATCATGCTATGGAATGACTCAAGGTGTTACAGCATTTCAGAAAATAACCCTGTGCCAGAGCCATAATATGGTTGTATGTCTTTTGCAGCCTGAACGCAGATTTTCATTGTTCAGCCTGTGGCGTGCAGAAGGACAGAGTCTACATTTGTAGCATCAGGGCAAGACACGATGATAAATGCTCTTTGCACAATGTCTACTATCTCTGCGACATCACCAGGATAAGTAGCTTGGTTGTGATGTTAAGATGGCATTCCTATGTGGGACATCTGGCTTATTCCTTGAAATTAGATCATTTATCTTCTGTGAGGAAGTCAGACTATTTTTTCTGATAGTCACCAATTCCTCCCACTTTGGTGTACAGGCACTAAAATTACTAGCTGTGAAATATAAAAAAAAAAACCCAACCAAATCTGTTTTCTGGAGTTTCCATCCTTGAGACTTCCTTTTCTTGTTTACCTGTCCCCAAAAAGCTATTGTTTCTAACTTAGAAGAGTTCACTGATATGGTGTATCGTGCAATCTCTTAAACGGTTTCATCAGCATGATTGCATGCAGCAAAGTGGTGCTGGGGGAGGAGTGAGCAGGTGGGCATGGGAACGCCGTTGGTGGCTTCATAGCTGGGGAAGCCAGTGTGCTGGGAAGCACCAGCTGAGGTGACAATGCGATACGTGAAATCCTTTCATCTCCTTTGCTTTTTCCAAGTTGGATTGAAAAATGTAACCAGCAGGGCTCTTCTCCCTTCCTAGGGATTTATGTGAGATTATATTCTTAACAGACTTCTCATCCAGCGTGTTTCTTCTCGCCTTTCCTGGAAGTCATAACACTTCCAAGGTAGGGAGAGAGGGAGCTTCTGTTGCCTGCAACGTCAGCTGTCCTGGCACTGCGACCTCCTGCGGGATGGTGGGTGCAGTGGTGGGAGACCTCCACCTCCTGCAGCCAGACCAGGAGGGACACCTGTGGTATGTGCAATGGCAGAAGCTGCTCCTGGTGCAGCACATACATTCACCATACATTTTAGGAATTATTCTGGAGACATACATCTAATGAGACTCATAATTTGTACTTTGAATTTGGCGTTAATTGTTTGTTTGAGGAACTTTGAGGTTCAAATGCTTTTTCTAAATTCTCCTTTCCGGTCTTTTGTCAGTTTGGTTATTTTTGGTTTCAAATTTCCCCAAATTCAGGTCATTTGCCCTGCTGTACAAAAGCTTTCTTTGCCGGCTGAAAGACTGTGACCTTTGGGAGAGCAGACCTTATAAATGTATATGTATATATAAGGAGAGACAGAGAAAGATCGCAATTTGAAGCAAGCTTGCGGAAAAACAGATTCTTACTCAATTTTCTCTGCTATGATGGCCTGATTTCCTGAATGCAGAAGGAAGGTTTCGTTTCTTCCAGCCATCACTGATCGCTCCCAGCTCTGGCTGAGGAGGTAGAGCACGAATTCTGGGCCTCAGAAAATGAAAAAAATTCACATAAACATTGTTGAGCTGAGGATAGTAAGACTATTTTCTGTGATAAAGGATCATAGTAGAGAGGTGTGCATACTGTACTGAGTCACCAAGTTAAATATATCCCTTCATCACAAGTTAGTGGCAAAATGCAAATGAACCTCATATTTCTAAAAGCTGTTCTTGTAGGAGGGCAGGGAAATGTTTAACAGCTGGAGCTGCCCCTATTGCTCTTGACTTTGTCAGTGTCTGGGAGGGTTTGGTTTCTACTGCCTGCCTGATCCAATATGTTCATCTCAAATACCAGCCCTAACTTAAAAAGAAAAAAAGGGGGGGTGGGGGTGGTCCCAGCATGGACAGGCAAAACCAGCAGCTGTATCTCATCCTGTTCTTACAAGCGTTTTCATGCTCTGAACAGCAGCACTTTGTTTTCACCCAGAATCGACTTGATCTGGCTGCTTCTCATTCCCAAATCAGCTGTAGGTAGGTGCTGCTGAGTGAGGGCACCATCCTAAGAGTCTCAGCAGTGAATGGGGGGACTGGGTGTGCTGGGAGGAGTGGGAAGGGCAGAGGTGGCTGCGGTTCACTGGAGCATTGAACGCAGGGCTCAAGCAGTTCAGTCCAGAGCAGTTCTTCCAGTTTATTCTCCTGAGGACCAGTGATGGATTTTGTGTACTCCTACCCGTCTCACTGTGGTTCTTTCACATGTTAAAAGAATACTTTTGGACCTTTTTCTGAAAATATTGGATTGTTCTGCCTTACTAGCTGTGATGCGGTGCTGTTTTGTTTTTTTTTTTTTCCCCAAATATATAAGAAATCAACAAAGAGTTCAAGTGATGTCACTAGTCTATTGGTTGAAGTCTTGCTTCAGGAGAGTAGTACTTCAGTCTCTCTCCTCTTACATGTGTTAACCTACCTTTGTGTAGACTGCTGCTGTTCTGCAGTTCCCCAGGACGTGAGCACCTGTAGAATCAGTTCCTGAAGTAAGACAGACAGTTTTGTCTGTGTGTTTTGCCGGCAGACGCACGTTCAGCTTCCCTGCTTTCCTTGTTCCTTTGAGTTCTCTACAATTCTTCCTGTGGAGAGAAACCATGGGATGGGTGGTGGACAAAGCAATATTTAATGTTGGTCTAAAATGCCATGGCTTTACTGGGGCAAGCTGCTGCTGCAGCTTTCTGAGTGTACGCGGTTCCTCGGCTAGCGCAGCCTGGAGCAAGCATGAGTTAGTCCTGTGGACCGTTCAGGTGAGATGTGCAGGGAGCTCGGTTGCTAGTAAGTTGCCTTTTGTCAGCTAACTAGGATTCACTGAAAAACTTCAGGCTGGAGAACATCTTGTAAGTACCTGCAAGACCTAAGATTAATTCCTAGCTGGTGTTAGGCACCTCACCACCAGACTCTGAGGAGAGGGGAACAGTTATCTCCGTGCTATTCGCCACCCTCTCGCTGCACAAGCCATCAACATACGCTCTCCCTGTGGTACTGAGAGTGTATTTTCACCTTGGGGTTACTGACTGGGTGAGCTGAGGCAGAACAATTGTTGGCTCTGTCCCCCCCACGGAAAGCAGCTGTTACTAGTCCATATGGCGTAATCCGTGCAAGCAAGCACAGGATCGGTGCTGTTCAGAGCCGCTCAACTGTCTTTCCTTCCTCTCTTTTCAGGTGGCCATCATTGCAGGAAATTTTGAATTGGCTGAAATCATCAAAACCCACAAAGAGTCCGATGTTGGTGAGTTTGATCTTTCTACTACCCCCTTTTCTCCCTTTTTAATCTTGCTGTAGAGTCCAGGGCTATGTTAGCGTGGCTGTGTTAACGGGTAGTTTCCTGGTGCTGCCTGCAGTGGTTGGTGGAAGCTGCAGCTTGCAGCCAGTTTTGGGTCTTGGGAGTGGCAGGACAGATCTGCTTTCCTCCTGGGGCCATCAGTATGCAGTTTGTTTATTCAGTCCAGTGTTTGCTTATGACTGCTGAGATTGCCAAGCTAAAGAATTAGCCAAACCATTAGTCTGGAGTAGCTCTGAAAAGCTCTTCTGTAAATTCCCTTACCTTTTTCTCTCTCTTTGCATCCTTGAGGCCATTTCATGCTAGAGATACTCTCGGGCTAAGGCTATTAACTGGGCTTGGTGCAAGGAGGAGACAACCTCTGTCTTAGTGATAATGGTTATGGAGCTGCCCCACACTGAAGCTCCTATAAGTAAAAGAAGTGAAGTAGCAGCCATTCTGGTTGTACTTGCTTCTTTATGGAGGAATATTTTTGGATTTTCTGGTCAGCCTTTTTCCTTGTGGCATCTCTTCTGTCCTTCTGTGGAGTAGATACTATCATGCAATATATTATATGCCATGCAAACCTGAGTTTTAGGTCAGATATAAAATCAACACTTACTGAGCTTTCTTGAATTATTCTGAGAAGTTTATTGGTCCAGAGCTCTCTAGAGCAATGGAGGAACCAGTGTGAAAAGTTAATTCTCAGCGTGTGTGCCTCCACAGAAGGTACAGAGCCATCAGGTCAGCAGCTGAAAAAGACTTGTGGAGTTTGAAACAGCCAGCAAGTATTTGGCTTGGTTCTTGGAAGTGGCTGTGAATCTAGAAACCTGGGCCCCAAGACATCCTTTATCACTTCTTTTCTCAGCTAGCTATCGCTGATAGTTATAAACAGCTGCTGAGAATTTGTAGGAAGATATAAGAGTCAGAAAAGACATGGGGAAAAGCCTGAAAATTCGTTATAACTATGTCAGTGAATGGTGCTCGCAAGAAAGCCACGGTATTAATTCAAGAGGAAAGTGACTGTCTTTGCTGTGAGAGGGGTTTTGGACTAGATGACCTCCAAAGGTCACTTCCAGCCTAAACTCTTCTGATTGAATCTGAATCTATGATTGACTGGCTCAATTATTTTTATTGAAAAAGTGTAAAGAAAAAGGACATGAAAACATGTCAGGTAGAATGAATTGTTCATGTTTTAGATATTGCTCTTTATATAAAATAGGTCAGGTAACAGTTGCAAACTAATCACACGCAAACCAGCAGGTCCAGATGGTATCCACCTGGGGTCAAGGGAACTGGCAGATGAACTTCTCAAGCAAGGAGAAATTGTTTTTTGAAGTTCATTAAGAACTGAGAAGTGTGAGTGTCTGACTGGAGGAGAGCAGACTGGCATTACTTGGGATGAGGAAGGGGCAGTGCTTGGTCTGGCCTTTTCTCTGATAGTTCTATCAGAACAGTTGAAGAAATACTGAAACCAAGAATCTGGTAGGAAAGGGCAGCATAAGGCAGCATTGTAAGTGATAGCTCTTGGAGAAATCTTCTTCTCGAGTTCCCAATATTAGGCTGCACTTGTCTGGCTGTGAGACAAGAATTGGTGGCTGCCGCCATCAGAAATATTCAGAGAGGGCCTGCTGTGTTAAGGCTGTGGGAGTAAGGATGGTTAGCAGTAGCTTTCGTTCCATTCTGCAGGACAGCCCTTAGCATGTATCTGTACTTCCAGGCTCTTAGACCATTCATCAGTGCTTCCGTCTGGATCTGGAGTGCTCTTCTGAAGTGGAGCTGGCTGTCCCCACTTGCTGTGCTTTGTCTTACAATGTAGAGCAAGCCTGGAGGGTGTGAACTGAATTTCTTTCAGGTGAAAATAACCCAGAAACTGTGTTCCAGAAAAACACCTGATGTGCTCCATCTGCTGACAGGCATTCAGCCCATGGGTCTAGCCAGGGTCAACACAGTTTGAAGTAAGATGCCCAGTATGGATGCTGGGTAGTCAGTGACAGCTGTTTACAGCCCACTGGGCTGCAGGACTTCTTGTGCAGGGTTTGCTGTGGTTCCCTGTGCACAGGTCTCCATCCCTTCAGTTGGTGCAGAGACCGAGAGCTGCTTATTTCATCACAGCCACCAGCACTGGGGTCAAAGAAGGTCAGAGTGGAAGGCTGCAAATCTGGGGAGGGAGAACATGTTCTTACAAGTAGAAAACGTTTGTGGAGACTGTGGAATTGGGCTGTTCCATCATTTCTGTTTTTTTCCTTATTCTTATGTTTTACGGATCTGCAGACAGAGAATGCCATGAATGGCAACAGCTGCGCTTTATTTTCTTGGTTGGACCTGAGAGGTTGGATCCTGAGGACCTGTCAGTGCCAGAACAGACCCTCTGTGGCATATCCTGGTGCTTGTTGGTCAGTGCAGCCTCTGCTGTTGCCCGTATGAGAATGCTTTCTGTGGAGTGGCGAGGGCAGCCCTAACTCTCTTCCTAAGCAGCAGGAGGGTCTCCTAGGGTATGGCTGCAGAGCCTTGTCTCTGACCGCTCCAGGCAGATTTGGAGACAATCTCAGTTAAGCGCGTTTACTGGTAATGCCTTGGGGAAATACCTAGGCCACCTACTCTAGCAACCTTGAGTTGGTTTGCAGGGGCTGTAAAGGGAGAGCTCACTCCAAGGTGGTCCTGAGCCTTATATCTAGTTTCCAGCACAGCCCCTGGAGATGGCAGTGGAAAAAGGCTGCGTGTTGAGCAGGAACACCAGGAGCTGGTCAATGGGAAACAATGCAAACGGGATGGTGTCTGAACCTCGGGGCCTCCCTGGAGTGCCACTGCCAACCTCCTGGCATGTCCATTTGCTTGTCCCATTGGTGTTCAAGTCTTAAATCCACATCAACGTTTATCAGTCAAATGTGTAATTCACTCAATAAAACCAGATGTGCACCACATTACCTGTTTTTCATTAAAACATTTGCAGTGTTGTTAGTTGCACATTGATTATTTTTTTTATCAGTTGGATCCTGTGCCAGCTGCTCAATAATTTTCATGATCCATCTTTTTGGTAAGTTTTCTTAGCCTGCAAGTTTTAAAGTATTTGTTTCAGCTAATTAGTAGCTGTCTCTGCTTTGTCATCATGATGACACAAATGCCTCTTCCTGCTTCTTTTAGAATATACTTCTGCATCTACAAAACAACCCAAAGCTTTTTCTGAAGTTTCCTCTGTTCTACAAACCTCTTGTTTTTCTTTATTGTTTTTAGCTCCCCTTATCAATTTTGAGTGTATTGTAACTTCATACTGATTTCAATTATTTTCCATAATTACAGAATAAATATATTCTGCAGTACCAATTGACGTCTTCATTTTGCCGCTCTTTTCCAAATAGGCATTTAACCATAGTTGCTTTATTTAATAATTATGGTTTTATAACTCTATTTGTGAATTTTTTAAGAACTCCTGATTTTATTCATATTTTCTCTCCCTGCATGAAAATAGATCTGGAGGAATAATATAACATTAGTCCAATACTGAGAAATTAGCCTTAAGCGTTACATGTACGTAAGACTGGTTGGGGCCGTCTTCCCTTTTCTTACGCTGAATATAGTCAGGTCATGATTCATGGTCACTAAGCAACCACCAACTTCAAGTCAAAGGAATTAATTCATCAGTCATAATGAGGCCCAAAACAGTTACCCCATATTACGTGGAATACCTTTTTGTTGGAGAATGGTGATCTGCAGCTCTGTATGAGATCACCAGCATTTGTTTGCCAAACCGAAGCGCACCATAACACCACTTGTTTTCCTTACATGTACAGGCAGGGGTGGGGAGTAACTCATCCCTCAGTGACTCTGCGGTTGTCCCTGCTTTTGGGGTGTGCTAGTGTCTTGGCCCACATCTGCTCGAGATCCTACAGCCCTGGCACATCATTAGCTCTGTATGGGCAGTGTTGCTGGCAGAACCTTCCTCTCTCCTGCTACTTTGGGGTGGATTTTTTCAAGGTATTTAGGCATATGAAGACACAGATTGGACATAGCAAAGGTCAGAAAATGACCTGGTCACCTAATTCCTCATGAGGTGTCCATTCCAGGTGGAAAGATGATAAGCAGTGCATATCCAGATGCACATGGCCCCGTTCCCTAGTCCCTTCTCTGTGTGAGCTGACACCGGGATATTAATTTAGAGCACAACATACTAGGAAGATTACATGAGACTTTGGGCATTGAATTGTCAGTTGTTGCTGAGAAATCTCAGCTTTATGACTTTTATAGCTCAAACCAAAGAATAAGTTATTTCTCATTAATGAGAATTAATGAGGGTGTCCTGGAGCCGACCCAAGATCAGTGTCTCCTTGTCCTTCAGGTGCCCTCCTTACCTGAAGCCCGTTCCAGGTGTGTCCATGCACTGTGAAGCTATCTGTCAGAAACTGTCTGTGGGAGCTCAGTCTGGGATTACCCAGTATGTGAAAAAATCTAACATCTTCCAGTGCTACTGATTCTTCAAGTGCTCCCCTGTAAAGGGGAGAAATCCACCCCAAAGGATTTAAAAGACAGCATTTTGCTTCATTAGGACACTACTATGACTTCATATCACTTGTTGCTAAGATCCAATAACTTGTTCATAATATTCACTGTCGGTGAAACATTTTTCCTTTTATGAGGGAAACGTGATGCCATTTCAGATCTTTGACAATCCATGTTGCCCTGGTCTGAACCTCTTCTGGCTCTACTATGTCTTTTTTGAGATGGGGGAATTCTACAGTGGCATAAGGATGTCTGCTTTGCTTTCTATATTTTGGTAATGGTACCCTGTGTTTGAATAGTGTTTCTAACCACTACCAAGCTCAGAGAGAACTTCTTGGAGCTATGCTGTAGAATGGCGTAGAGCATCTCAGATAAACGTGTATGACAAGCCAAAGTAGAAGTTATGACATTTCTTCTTCCTTTCTAACCTTTCCCCTTGATCCTTTCTCAGAGAAATTTTTGGAAAGTGCTAAATGAGGTAGATGTTGCAAAACTTTGTATGGAAACCATAAATGAGTTTCTTGTATGACGGAAAGCTTTATTTCTTTTTGTCTGTGT